AGTAGTCTAGCGCTCTTTTCCGTTAGATTTCTTCTAGTAATTCGGTGATCTTTCATTCGTAATGCCGTATATATAGCATCTATTTCAACATGTCGGTTTATTGAGCTGTCGGTGGAATACCATGCCTCCAAGAATTCTCTAGCTTGCTTCGAATTTCCACGGGCTAGGATCTTAACGTTCTCTAGATCGAAGTGGTGGCCTTCTTGGTCTTCATGCATGGAAACTAATGAATGCGGGTCGTGTCTCCGTATGGCCATTCTGTGTTCGTTGATCCGTGTTGATAGTTTCCTTCCGGTTTGTCCGATGTAGTGTTTGTCACACTCTTTGCAGTTAATTTTGTAGATGACATCATTCTGACTGCCTTGTTTAACTTTGTCTTTCGGTCTTGAAAGCAATCTTCGCAGAGTACCTGTTGGTTTGTGGGCTACCAAGATTCTATGTGGTCGTAGCAACCTTGACGTCAGTTCAGATACATTCTTGATGTAAGGAAGCGCCACTCGTTTATCAATGTTTTCCTGCTGTTGTTGCCGCACCCTCTTCTTTAGGCTTCTTCTGATGAAGTTTCTTGGATACCCGTTGTTTTGCAATACCCGGTATAGGTGGTTCTCTTCCTTCTTCCTCAATTCTGTCGTGCTGCAGTGTGTTTCGGCCCTATTGAAAAGGCTTTGAATGCAGCTTTTCTTGTGGTTCAGGGGATGGTTGCTGTGGTAGTTTAATATTTGGTCGGTGTGAGTCTTCTTTCGATATACACATGTCTGAAGTGTTCCGTCAGTGTTTCTTTGGACCAGTACATCTAAGAATGGTAACTGGTTGTCTTTTTCGAGTTCAATTGTGAACTTGATATCCTGGAATGTGTTGTTGATTAACTCATGGGTATTCTGCATGGAATCTCGTTTGATGACGACAAACGTGTCGTCCACGTACCGGATCCATAATTTTGGTTTAATTAACGGTATTGTGATGCTCTCCAGTCTTTGCATCACAGCTTCTGCAATAAGTCCTGAGATGGGCGATCCCATGGGCGTTCCTTTCAGTTGTTGGTATACTTGCCCATCAAAGTAAAAATAAGTAGTCATGCAGAGTTCCAAGAGTTCCCATATGCTTTCCGGTTTGAGGTTTCCTATTGTGTTCGATTGCTTTCGAAGCAATTCCATCATGGTTTCTTTTGCAAGTTCGTGACTGATCGACGTGAAGAGCGCGGTGACATCAAACGACAGCATGATTTCATCTTCCTCTATTGTAACACACTTCAGTTTGTTGATGAATTGTTCAGCATTGATGATGCTTTGTTCAGAGCCGGCAATTAGATGTTTTAATTTCTTCCACATGCATTTTGCCAATTTGTACGATGGGGTTCCTGGCAACGAGACGATTGGACGCAATGGGACTCCGTCTTTGTGTACCTTTGGCAGTCCATAGAACCTTGCAATGTTTGTGTCCTCAGCTTTCATCTTCCATCGCTCCAGCTTGGTAATCTCACTCGTTGCTTGTAGTTTCTTCAATGCTGTGTTGATATGAGTACTCAGTTTTGTACTAGGGTCCTGATCTATGGGACGATAGGTGGTCGTGTCGGACAGGAGTTGTTTGGCTTTTGCAACGTAATCTGGTTTATCCATTATTACTGCCATGCGTCCCTTGTCAGCTGGTAGGATTACAATATTGTCTTCTTTTTGTAGCCTTCTGAGTCCTTCCCGTTCTTCTTTTGCAAGCGTATGTGTGAATTTGTTGCGAGTTATTGCAGGGACAACTGTTTGTCTAATTTGTTGCCGCGATTCTTCTGATAATCCGTTTGTGTTCAAAACTTGTTCCAGATTCGCCAAGTAATCCTTATATGATGCATCTTTTGCGTTAAAGTTTAGTCCTTTGATTAGTATGTTCTCCTCCGTTGTACTGAGTTGACGGCTAGACAAGTTTTTGATCCATCCTTCACCGTTGGGGTGGTCAGACTTTCTTGTAAGTTTATTCAACTTGATACTCAGTGCTAAGTTACGCTGGCTTCTGATGTTGTTTACTCGACGTTGAATCGCGGATTCAAGCTCTGCAAGTTTTTGGGGTCCCATCGCAATAAGGCAGTCAGTTTTATTGTCATTTATAACCTTTTCATACTTTCGAAGGCGATTATGGGCATCGGTTATCATTAATTTGACCATACGCGTCCCATATTGTCTTGTTAAAGCCCAAGCCTCTGGATGATCTAACGCCGGTCTGTGGTTCAAACTGGGTGGCAGAACATTTCGTCTCAGACATTCGTGGAGGAAGTATAGTTGCTCGCGTGTGGAAGCTCGTCGACAGGCAAAGTTTTCCCAACGGCGAGCTTGTTGAAGCGTTGTACGCCCGAATAGCTGCGATATAGAAGCTGTAACGTAAATGAATAAATAAACAATTTATTCTCAAATGTATAGAGACACACCAAATCAGGCATGATCAAGGTTTACAGGCGGCTGTGTATCACAACGATACTTTGGGTTCAATCGTGCGTAGTGTAAGCGGTCAAGGCATTATAAGTGCAGTGAAACTGCACATGTAGTCAGAGGGTATCACAGTCTTGCACGTGTCAGGAAAAAGTTGAAATATGAGTCTAGTCGACTTGCCAGCATGTAGTTGTGGGCAGTGACTTTATTCAGTGGCGAGTCACATCCGCCACGTCGCAGTGTTGTAACACAGACATTTGTGGCTTTTTATAGGGAGAACGCTTGCCGGGCGAAAACCCACCACGTCCTGCAACACCGCCGTAAATCATTTTGAACACTAATGTATAACTGGCAAAGCCGCTTGACGACTGATTTCCTATTCGGTTATTCGCACTCAAATGACTAGCAATTTCTTCTGTTGGCTGGAGAGATAGTTTGATCAGGGCCGCCATGATCGTTGCGGCCGCTTGAGGATGGGAACATAACGAATATTGATTTTGTTGTGTGTCCATGTGAGCAAAGTTTCAAACGTTCTGCTGTCTGGATTTTTCAGATGTATAATTTTCGGGAGGGTGAAGACATGTCCAGCTCTCCATACTGGGCAACGGTTGTGGTGGTGATTGCAGTGGAGTCCCCTTGGTATACAGCCATGCTCCATGTAGGTACTTGTCGGTTATTACGTCCGTCTCGGACGAAATCTGTTCCTCAGTCCAATCCCAGATCTGCTAGTAGTTCCGGACCTCGGAGAAAAGGGAAAGTGATGGACAAACGAGAGAAGATCGCAAGAACAGGCGTGGAGTTAAGCATTTGTTAAAGTTTTATGTTACGACATTTGGAGTTGAGGCAAAATCACGTACACTGTGCAAAAATGATTATGCTGAAAGTAACTTTTGGATGTCTTATAGCATCAAGCCGTACGGGTAGATTGTTAACGTCTGCGTAGAGACAAAAGCGTTGTAGCAGTAACTAATCCACGAACTATTAGTTTAGTATGAGGCAAAAATTGCGTGGGGAGAGAGGAAAGAAAGTTAGAAGGCTGGTGTTGATTGCATGGTGCGTGAACAGCAAGTAGCCAGTTTCATACCATAGGGAGCGCAGGATAAGAAAGTTGAAAATAAATAATTTGCTGCCAGAGAGATCTAAAGGTCAATTGGTGGTAAGGCAGCGGAAAGATTGGACGCAAACAGGCCAAGAGAATAAAGGTTATTGAGATAAGTATTGGCTCCTAACAAGCTCTGGATAATCGTAGATGCAGGGGGCCTACGAGCACTAGCTGCTTCTAAACAGAGGTGCCGAATTTAAGACGATCGATAGATGGTGGCGCTTGGAAAGAATACCAGTGGTCAGGTGCAGCCTTGCCAGTAAGACGCTTGGTCAATAGTGTATGCCTACAGGGGCACAGAATGCATCAACAAGCCAGCGAAGGTACGTGAAACAGATAGTCCAAGAGAATGTATGATGGAAAGGCAAGCAGTGCATCCTAGCAAGCTCAAGGTCTGCGCAGAAGTGGCATGGAGCCTACGACGAATCGCTGACAAGTGGTGAGGAAGATAAGAAGAGCGACAGATATTGGCGCTAGGAGAGAGAGTATCAGTGGCCAGAAGAGGCATTCGGATTAAGCCTTTTAATTACCAGTGGATACCTACAGTGACAGATTAAGTCAACAAACCAGCGAAGGTATGTGATGCAAACAATCCAAGAGAGTAAGGGATGGAGAGCTAAGGAGTGGCTCCTAGCGCAAAGGTTTATGCTACCTACAATGAAATGTGGTGACGTAGGTAATACGAAGAAGTGATAATGGTACTAAGGGAGAGAGAGTGTATTGACGGCTAGCAATGGTATTTGGGTGAAGCCTTCTAGTTGCTAGTGGATACCTACAGTGTCCCAGAATAGGTAAACAAACAGCAAAAGTATTTGACGCAGACAGTCCCAGAGAGTAAACGAGAGTTAATTGTTGGGACCTGTGTCCGATATCTTGGGTGTTCGAATTTCGAGGTGCTCTGGGCCACGTTCCCAAAGTTCCTCCTCCGGTATATTGGAGTTAAAGAGCTCGCATGTAGGCAGGGTAGCAAGATGTCTATGTAGGAATGGTCGGAATTGTGCAGTATTCTCGGCTGCCATAACTTGTAATGGTAGTCTGTTCCACACGCGTGCGAATCTGTAGAGAAACAAGTTGTTACGCATGTAGATGCGGGCTGTAGGTAGTCTAATGTTTAAGGGTCTATAGCGGAGTGGATACCGAGAGTCACCGTTTTGCTGTATAAGTCCTGCAAGGTTCGTATTTTGGTTTGTTTATCGTCTGGAATAGGAAAGTGAGGTTGAGTCTCATTCTTCGTAACCATAGAGCTTCAAGACCAAGAAGTTTACAGCGCTCACGGTATTTTACAGTAGCAAGGCAAAGCAGGTGCTTTGTGAATGAGCGTTGTACTTTGTTAATTGCTATTCGGTCACTCATTCTGGAGTTGGTGAATATTATTGAGCAGTATTCCTGAAGAGGTCTAGCGCATACCTTGCATAGAGTGAGTCTGGATTCGGTTCCGAGCATTGTCTTGCAGAAATGACCAATGAGGGATCTGGCTTTCGCTACACTATAGTTAACTTTTCCGAGAAATTTAGTGAGCTTGAATAGTGTACGCCTAGATCCCTTACGGTTCGACAGTTGGCTAGTGAGACGCTATTTACGGTTAGCGCACTAGGCGGTACAGTGCATCTATACAACAGGGCGCTGCACTTTGCCGGAGAGAAGTCAAGCTTCCATGTGTTACACCAAGAGTCTAATGCTTTAAGGGCTTTTTGAATATTGAGGAGACCGCTCCTTAGGGTACCCGGGTCAAAGCGGAATACGACTTTGATATCGTCGGCGAACCGGTATGCCTTTCCATATTCAAAGACTTGAAATACGTCGTTGATGTAAAGTAAGAAGAGTATAGGGCCCAGTAAAATTCTCTGGAACACACCACTCGTAACTGGTTTCGGTGAGGATTCGAAGTCTTCTAGTCTCACCGACTGTGTTCGACAGGAGAGATTGGAAGAGAACCAAGAATGCAGCTTGTCCGATATACCGTAAGAAGCCAATTTAGTTTGCATTCCATTATGAGGGACTCGGACGAACACTTTTTGCATATCCAAGAAGATGATGATCAGAGCTTCCCTGCAATCAACCATGGCGGTAACATTGTTCAGGAACTCCAGCTGGCATGTTTGACAGGATTTAGACGGGAGAAATCCATGTTGGGATTTGTGATGAGATTACGATTACGATTACCGTAGGAGCTCTTCCTTGACGATCCTCTCCATCACTCTTAAAGCGAATGGAGTTTGACTAATGGGTCGGTAGTTTTCAATGTTTTGACGGCTTCCTCTTTTGTATCATGGCGTGACTACTGCATGTTGCCAAGCAGCGGGAATGGTTCCATGTTTCACGGAAATGTTGTAGTGTTTATAAATTATGTACATTTTTCCTTGTCACTTCCTATTCTATCTTCCGTCAATTTTTGTATATTTGTTTCAACTCACACAACAGGATATATACTCATCTTCGAATTCCGTTCGTCTTCTGGTTTCGGTGACGCTGTGCCGCCTTCGAGTACTGTGTGGGCTTCGCATCAGTTGTCGGATCTTCATTTACAATCACCGTTCGTTTCCTCCATTCCTGTTATCGGACAGTTTGCTGAATTTACCTTTTGTAACCTGACCGTGAGCAATCGAGCTAAGGTCCTATTCGCAATGAACCATCAGCGGTATAACTCTCTCTGTCAGACAATATATTTGGTGACCCCGTCTATTTAATTTTTTTGATTATATTTCTCTTTTTTCCTAGTGTCTGACTACGCTGCCCTCGTGAACCGTGTGAAAACTCAACTGGCTTTCCGTTACCCACCTTTTATGTTTCAAACCCTCGTGTTTGTTTTATTCAGGTGGAGGCCATCTTCCGATTTCGGAAAATCACTTTGCAACCATAGATGTTTTCATACCTCACCGCTCATCTTCCTTCACAGATAGTCTCGAAGGTGATCGATATGCTTGATCCGATCCCACTGAATCGCCGTATGACAAGCTTAAATCAGCTATTCTAAACCGCACTACGGCTTCCGATGAAGCACGGCTACACATGCTACTTTCAGGCATAGAGCTTGGAGACGACATCCTGTCTCAACTCCTCCGGCACATGCATCACTTGCGGGTTCCTCGACCCTGGATGATTCCATCCTCCAACAAATCTGGACTAAGTGCCTTCCAACAAACACCACGGCGATTTTAGCAGACCTCGCTGATGAACTTCCGTTGGACAAACTCGCCGAAGCTGCCGACATAGTCCATGAACGGTTCTTTAAATCTGCTGTGAATAATGTGACCACTAGTCCATCTGGAAGTACCGCACTTGACGATATTATTGGACGGACGTCTCCGTTAGAACTCGCTATGTCTCGCACCGGTCGTGAACGACCTGCTAACCGCAGATTCAATTCAAGTAGCGGCCGACGTTGTCAATTCCGCACCAGCCGATCGCGATCATGCTGCTACTTCCACCGCCATTTCGGCGATGCTGCTCGCAATTGTCGTCCAGGTTGTAAATATCTGCTCAAAGGGATAAAGAAATATCATTGAGGCGGACTCTAGCTAATAGTATGCAAGAGTTGACTACACGGTCAGCTCACGTGGACCAATAGCGTCCTGACGTTCGAATCAAGTGATCAATAAGCACTTGGATCTGCAAGTGGCTCGCATAAGTCGCACTGATGATGTCCTCTAGCCTGACGATGAAACGTCTGCAACCAAATCAACCAGCTCGGAGAACACCCGCATACCCTCATGGCAGAAGCAATTGTGACAAGGCTGCTACAGCTGGAACTGGATATCCAGCGTGTATTTATGCCAAGTTTAGCCCTACGACGGCCATAGCCCGGTCAGCTGACTTGTGGCAATGTGGTAAATGGCAATGGGTTTAAATTGACATTGAATGGCACTGCTCTTCCGGTCGAAGTATACACTACAAGCTGCTGCATCTCTAATAATAGTTCCTATTCCAGTGGTTATGCATTTCATGATTGTAACTGCTTGACGGGATATACGGAAAGGTAGTTATTTGCACTTCCATTTTGCTATCTCATTGGGCATAATTTATGAGTTAAACAACATTTCCATCATTTAACTTACCTTCTTATTGTACTCTTGTCGCACACCGATTCTGATCGATGTTTCTATATTTGTTGAGTATACGTCGTAATTTGAAACATATGTTCTGGCTTGCTGCCTTATATCCTTACCGTCATTTCTGGTGGCAAGTTTCCGAAGTCGCTCCTCAAATTTTCTATGAAGTCATCGCATAACTGCATTGCGAGCTTACGTCTAGAAATGTGACATACCTACCATGGCCTCAAGAGGGGATCAATGATCATAGGTTTGGCTCACGAACCTGGAACTACGATAAACCACGAGTTCCTACACATCGAATTCGCAGCAATGTCCACGTGTACACATTTAGGTATTAGTTCGCCTTTTAACGATACGAAGGTTAGAGGTTGTTGAAAGCAACGAGTTACATCAACTTTTCTCGTCCTAGTACAACACTGACGAATCCCGAAACGATTGCACAGTCGTCAATGTTTTCCAGATAGTGAGCACGAAACCCACGGAATGCGGTTGCGACAAATGCAACGCCAACATTTCTACAAAGCTATCCAATTGCTACTTATCAAAATCAACAGTCGTGCAGGTTAATCTTTGTTGCCAAAGTCGATGGCAACCCAGTGAAGGAATTTCCTGGCTTTGTGGGTCAACCTTGTTCTTGTCACCTTGGAAGCGTTCATGGCGGGGAGGATGAGTATCCGCGACAAATCTAGCCAGTGTTTTATTTACGCCGGCACCACAAATCTGCCGTGGCCCACTGGTTGTAACCAAGGGCTTGTAAGATTGGGCTCGCGGGTTCAAGCGCAGCAGGCAACAGATTTCATGTGTACTGTGGACCATTTAGGAAGAAGTAAAAAGCATACCCAGTGCCCTACTGCATGTCTAGTGGATGTCTAACTGAGTACACTGCTTTACTCCTCAAGCTCACTTCAAGTAGCATCCTCGAGAGGACGGTCATAAGGTTATCTGAACGCAATTATTTCACATCCGCAATGTACATAATCGCAAATGTTTTCACATAAATATTAGCAAAAACCATTTTTATGTCATCAGATATCGAAACAAATTTACGGTGAAACGGCCAATAATCAGCGAATTGCCAAATAAGACGGTTGTTCGGATGACGTACATTGTATCCTACGCGCTAAGCGTCCATTTATTCAAAGGCTTAGATGGAAAGCTCCTAAGCTGGAGCACAGATAGTTGGTCCCTATTGGTGGCACACTTCACTTCCGTATTTGCAAGTGACTAGGTGTCTTTAATGAGTTGGACAAGTACCGCTCCCGCTAAACTAGACGTCCTAGATTGCAGCATTGATGATGTACACAAACTGCCGGCAACTCTTGACTTGAGGAGGCTTGCCGGACCAGAAGAAATTCACCCACTGGTCTTCAAGTCCTTATCGGTCATCATCTCGCTTTCTGTAACCAAGCTAGCCAACAGTTGACCAGCTACTGGTTTTCTACTGGGAGACTGGAAATACTCAGTCCTAAAGCAATACGAAAATGTGGTGACCCAAGCAAAATGGCTAACCACCGGCCGATCCGCCTGGCAGCTGTTTTGACTAAGATGCTTGCGAAGATCGTGAAGAAGAACCTTCTGCAGCTTCTCGAGTCGAAAAGTCTATTGATGCCCGCACCGCATGATTTCTTGGAAGGTCGCTTGTGCATCATCAAGCTTTTGTTGTAGAGGCATTAATGGTTGCGAGCACTGAACCAAGGCATATCGCTCGGCATCATTTACATTGACTTCAGTAAGGCTGTTAGCAAGATGAATCATGCAGTGCTCCTCGACAGGCTAAGGGTGCGCGGTTTCGGTGAATCGCTGCACCGATGGATCAGGAATTTCCTTGTTGATCGAAAGTGAAAGGTCCAGATCAACAACCATTTGACCGACTGGTATACATCGCGCATTGTCGTGCCCCAAGGCACTGCACGGGGACCCATTTTGTCCCTGATGCATGGAAACGATGTGTCTCAGCCAATCTAATCACCTTGTGCTTTGTTCGTAGATGACTTGCAAATGTGGACTAATCAGCGCAAACGTGACTGTGACCTTATTCAGCAGGATCCCGACCGCCTCTCCACGTGGTCTGCAGAAGTTAACATTCAGATCAACCGGGTCAAGTTGCAATTCGTGAGGCTAGGTAAGTGTGTGCACAGTCAAAGCTACACTGTGGTCGGTCAACCGTTGCATACAGCGCCTTTAGTGCGATATCTTGGTGTACTCTCACGCTGCGACCTGAACTCCATGCATGACACTGCTGTACCTGCACACACCAAGCAGCAAACGAGGGAACCGGTACAAGCTTGTAGTACCGGATTTCAAGCGGATCACCCACCAACACTGTTTAGAACAGTGAGTTGTAAATGTATGAAAATACCTGCCGTAACACGTAGTTAGGGCAAAGTCGGTGTCGGACTTTAAGAAATTCCTGGGCAAACAGTTTGCGGAAATAAAAATAAATCGAGCACATTCCAACATAACTGGTATTTGTACCTGAGGGATATTAGATGCAGGTTCACCCAGAATTGTCACTCTTTGCTGCTTCCAACGAGTAATCGGTATTCAGCTTACAAATTTGACCACGTCAACCTCATCAGTCTCAACCGATTTGACCATTGTATAAACGCTCACCGCATTGCTAGAGTGGTACAGCGAAACTCGGCTAGGACCTATCCAGATCATTCATAGACAATAAACCACACTCCCAACACACTAGAGTACTGAATGCAGCATTTGCATGGGGCACACACTATGCGTCCGATACAGTTGGTAACTGACAGATTCTAAGCACATCACCATAAGATAGCCAGTTGAATGGCACTAAAATGAGTTATCAAAGGTAACATGTAGTGAACGTGCTCGTTTTCAGTGGCTCATCTTCAAGCTATTCACCACGATATGAGGGGTCAAACAAAACGCTAATCAAATGCAATAAGGAAAAGAAGCGGAATATCTAATCAATATAACTAAACGCTTGGTCTACTCAAGGTCAAATCAGGTGGCATAACGTGATCGTCATGGTTAGTGGA